CCAGTTTTCTTATGGTTGTTTAAATTTTAGAACAGTATGTTGCTATTATAGAAAAACATGTTGCTATTGTGGAACTAATATAACACTATGTTTATGCTTTTATGAAATTAAAGTGTTATATATATATTTTTTTGTTATTTAATTATGTGAATCCGTGGTCCTAAACCGATCCAATCCGTATTTAAATGGATTGGTTCGGATTGGTTCCATGATTTAAACGGATTGAATTAGTTCCAATTTTTTAGGAACCGTACATAATGGATTGGTCCTGATTTTATCCCAATCCGATCCAATCTGGACCATGCTCACCCCTAATATTAATGGATAATATAACATAATTTTAAAAATTTAAATATTTATAATTTATATAATTAATAAAATTAATAATAATAATATAGTATTAATTAATATATGGAGCTAAGAAAAATCCATTTGTGTTTATCTCTTGAAAAGCTATGAATGATCCAGAGGCAAGCCCAAAATCACTGTTTTGAACTTCTTCCATTTTTGGCCATGACAACACTGCTACAAATTTCTATCAATCTTTCAGCCTTAAACACCTCACATGATGATCGAATTAAGAGACAGAGATGTTGTGGGTTGAGATTCTCAGAACCCATTAACTGTCACTCTGTTTCGAGAACAAAGATTGGTTCTCTGCATCAAAGAAGGTTCAAATTGGGGGTTTTTAGAGAGAGATGGTCATTCTTGGAAGTGGGTAGGGATAAAGATGGGATTTTAGTGGGGGAGGAGGGGTGGAAGAGGAAGAAGAGGGTGGTTGTGGTTAAATTCAATCAAGGGTTTGGGTTTAATGGTGGTGGTGGTGGGAGAGATAATAGCAGCACTGCTAGGATTTTGGGTAATCTTGCTTTGGCTGTTGGCTTGACTTATCTTTCTATGACTGGACAGCTTGGTTGGGTTTTGGATGCAATTGTCTCTGTTTGGGTCTCTCTCTCTCCCTCTCTCTCTCTCTCTCTCACACACACACACACATTATCTAGGTTTACTCGCACAACCAACATACACTATCTCTGAAAGGACCTGTATGCAGAATTTTTACCTTGGATTTCTGTTGTGTACATATGTTTATTGTTTAGCCTTTAATTTTTCTATCTTCTTTCCTGCCAACATGTTTCATGTGTTTTTGAATTTTAATCCAGTACTTGTGCATCTCCAATCTTTACCCCTTTTTTTTCATCAAATTTTAGTGAAATTTTGGTTAAAAGTTTAATTTGGTATGGAACACTCCAATTTTTGCTCTCCTATCTTTTCATCAAATCTTTTCAAAAAATTATAAACTTATGGTAAAACCTGTTTTAACAATTTTTGATGAAAGAAAACCATCTCCATTCGGTACTCTTTTTAAAATTAATTTGAGTAAAAATATGATTGTTGGAAATTTGGTGAAAGATTTTGTTTATCTTGATTCGATGGAAAATTTGTCTCTCCCTTGATTTGACACAGATTTGATGAAATGGGTAGAGCTCATATTTAGCCATTTTTTCATCAAATTGGAATTTCATGAAAAATTTGATGAAGAATTGGAGATGTGCTAAGTAGATATGTTATACTATCTAAATAATCTCATGCTAGATTGTTTGTGTTTGACACGTTACTTTGCTCACTGTGTCATTCATCCTCTTGTCCAACTATAATTTCTGGGTTGGCATTGGCAACATCCATTGCTTTGATTCAAGTACTTTTCCTATGGTGCCAGTGCCACATTTCATGTCTCTAAAAATCTGAGATATTTTCCATACATTGTTTAAATGCTTTAATTCAGTTGATATCTGTTGACCATTATATATCAGCAACATTTACCTTGTGAGGTATTTTCTGATATTACTAACTTGAAAGTCGAGCCAATTTTTGTCATTGGATCTGATTGTTTGTGATGCTTTTTCACATCTAGCTCCTTGTAGTGATTCTACCAATTGTGGGTTTGGGAGCTTTTCTGTGGTGGGCAGGACGAGAAATAGTTCAAAGCAGTGTGAGGCTACTTTAACTTTTGTTCATCTGCTCTACTCCTTATAATTTTCACCTTGTTGATTGACTGTTTGATTGGGCACATGAAACAAGCTTCTTTCCAATCACTCCATAATTTAAATGATTGATCGTGTCTTGTGCCAAAGAGAGAGAGAGAGAGAGAGAGAGAGAAGTAATTGATCACATCTTCATAAGCATACCAACACAATCACACATTTATATTTATTATGTTATATGGAGACGTTGTTCTAGTTTTCATGCCAGCTTGTACTTCGAGACAGAGTCCAGCATCTTGTTTATCGCTGTATCTTGAAGTGTTCTTGTAAATGAGTTACTCCTAATATTTGGTCAATGTTTGATGATATGAGTAATATTCTTTTACTGTTATTTTGGGATTTTTAGCAATTGCATATGTGTGGACACATTCATTTTTAAAATTGTCCATGTATGCTGGCTGTTTTTCACTGCCCTGAAAGATGGGATTCACTCCTTCGGACTGATTCTCTTATTGTGAATTTATTGCCAGATATACTGTTTATTCAAAGATAATGTTTAGTGCTATTATTTGGAGGAATAATTAAGCATGTGCATTAATCAGATGATTAAAATCTTCATAAGCCTTTTTAATTATTTGTTTATGGGAGACAAACTATCAAGGAAGTGCTTTATGGGAGACAAACTATGTTCTTGAATGAACCTACTGTAAATCAACCAACCGCATGACCAATTGTGTAAAGAATATATGACTTGGCTGGGAAGATATAGAAGACCTTGTGTTGATTGATTTCACATTACTGTAAAGAAACCATTTGCGAAATCCATAATTTTAAGGTTTTTTCAACTAATTTCTCACCTGGAGAGACTGGAGTGGGAAGTTGGGTAAATAAAAAAAAAAATAATTGTTACGTAGCAGTCTTAGGGAGAAACTCCCAACTATAATATGTATGTAGACATTTCAATTGCTTTTTGTTGCACTTCTAAATATTACACTTCTTGTAGCAAGGTTTTAATCTCTAAATATGTTCGTAGTGCATGTAAAGCAACATAGTTTAGTAGTTTGAAAATTCCATTTTTTTCTTTATTTTATTTTTTGATATGGCTTTCTAGAGAATCTAGACACACAATACACTTACCTGCACAATCATGAAAATTGGAGGTGTTTCCTTGTGAAATTTGCATCTCTGTCTGATGCTGCTTGGTTGCCCTCTGCTTTTGTAGAATTCACTTTATATGTAATAAAGAAACAATATAATGTAAAAGCATAAAAATATTGTTCCGTTGGGTGGTTATTATACATGAAGCATGTTATTGAATAAGTTTCACTCTCTTTTGCGCTTGTTGATTCCTTTTCCTTGACTCTCCACTCTAAATGCAGTGTCCAAACTGTGGAAATGAGTTTCAGATTTTCAGGTAAGATGAGTCATAATTATAACTTATTACCCATTATGATGTGTGGAAAATTTATGAAGCCTTCTACATAATTGTTTTGCCTCGTAAGTTACTTAACTTCATGACTGATGCAATTACTTATCAAAGAGAAAAAATAAACTAAAACTTCATTGCTGATGCAATTTCCTGCAGATCTGCTATCAATGATGATTTGCAGCTGTGCCCCTTTTGTACTCAACCTTTCTCTGGTAAACTACTAAGTCGGGGCCAATATACTATATTGAATTTCTAAAAATGTATTACCACTCTCTTACAATATTACGGTGATGACATTCTATTTGAGACTTGACTCACATTGGTTTTACTGGACACTTTGTTTTTTTGTTGAGTTTTGCAGGAGTATGTCAGTACCAGAATTGATCATAGAATTGATTTTACTATAATTTTCATCTTAGCCTAATGTCTTATAAACCTCCTGAAATTTGGAGGCAATTATTGAATGTTTTACCTCACAAATTGGCCCCCGCTTTTGGCTCAGCCAAGTAACCCCTGCTGAGTGGATTTCACCGATGGATCTCCTATTTATACTTGGTCTCTAAACAATTCCATACCTATTACACCAGTTTAGGCCGGGATCAGGGCCTAAGAACCCCACTCGGGATCACTAGAGGTGTGTTGCTTGGAAGATAGTGTTAAGGGATCATCAAGGTTGCCTGTCTCACCCTTTGGAGTGACTCCAACCAGACTGGAGAGGGTGGCTTTGACCAAAATATGTGACTGTTAGATCACCATTTGTCCCAAAAGCTTAAGCTGTTAGGAAATGGGCCCAACAATGTATATTATGTTATCCAACACCCTTCCTCACATGCAATCCCTTCTTGCATGTGGGGATGCAAACATAAATACATAGAGAAGCAAAATGCAAATGGGAGCAAGTGCAAATGGAGAACTTGGACCTATGACCAGGGACGGAACTAGGATTTCATTACCAGAGGGGCCAAAAGAAAAATAATTTTTTTTCATCATATACATTCGTGTGTGTACAATATGATATATAAATTATATGTATGTAGAAAAAAAATTTAAATACGATAGAAGCAATTTCTAATAGGATGAAGAAGGTGTTTTTGGTGCAAAATAAAAAGAGAATTCTAGATGGGGGAAGAATGAGATATATGTTAGTTATACTGGAGGGCCATTTTATGTATAAAATGATATATATATTCAAAATTCTATGACAAATAATATTTTTCACAGAAAGAAACAAGGGGGTCATGGCCCCCCCTTCTCCTAATTTTGACACTGATCATAACCAAGTTATAATTAATACTATAATAAGTTATGAAAATTGCCCCAAAAGCTTAAATTAATAGGAAATAAGTTCGACAATATATGTCAAGTTATCCAACAGTGACACCTCGAAGAATGCATCATACCTACCTCTGCAAATCCTTGCTACAGTCCTCAAGGCTTAACATACCTACCCACTGCAGTTTCATCATCCGTACAATTGATAGTTTGGAAACCTCTGGATTGTCGAATAAAGGGGGTTGAGCCACCTTTCCCCATTGTGGGACATTGTGCTTGGCTGACCTACCATCCATGGCTTGACTCCTTCATATAAGGGGATGTTTTCCATACATGGAGAATGCAGCAAGCCATCAACCCCCTTCGGCAAAGTTTAGAAGTTCTTTCTCTATTGCCACCCTTTCTCCTACTGGGCTGCCTTAACTCTCACCTCCTCCACCTCTGGTGTTTTCTCACCATCTTGGTGCCCAAAAGGACCTACGCTGACCAGCTCATCACCATTCATCCACACTGCCCAAAACTCAGTCCGGATTAGAAAATGTGGCTGGTCAGTGTTAGGTGTTTATATAGTAGCATGTGTGTATTTACAATAGTAATAGTTGGGGTGTATCCCTCCTCCCCGTCTCTTTGTTCTCTTGTTGGAGCATCCTAGGGCTAGGGTGCTTAAAATGCTCCAGAAGCGTATTTATAAAAATATTGGTTTCAGCATTAATTGTAATTTTATCAAACTTGAAGTGATAGCTAAATTTTATTGTTTCTCTTGTGTATCATAATGAACAAAATGGATCTGATAGTGGCAATAGTCGCTCACTGTTAATTAATTTTAAAACAATATCTTGATTTATGAAGAGCCTTTAAAAATTAGTCTTCACATCTTTGTGTATGTCTGAAATATTTTGCTTTCATTCAGTTGTAGGCAATGAGTTTGTAAGGGATCCTGTGACGTTCTCCAACCAATCTACTACATTTGGGGAAGCATTTAAAAATTTCTATCCTCGCTCCAAGAAAGGTATTTGTAAATATAAAGTATTTGTGAAGTCCTCTTGGATTTGCTATAATTTAAGAAAGTATTTATGAATATTGCAAATGATTATTAATCATAAGCCATCCTCCCCACCTTCACTTTCTGGAGAATAACAGAAAGAAAACAAAGAAATAGAATAACCCTTTTTAACTTCCTTCCAAACCATTCCTTTTGAACTCCTAAGATATTATTGGTTCTTAAATATTAACGTATTCTTGAAATTTTCACCCTTGGTTTTGCAGAAAAGGATTTTTCTTCAGTTGTTGATGTTGAAGCTGAAGTAAAAGATGTCGAATGAAGCCTTTGTAACACCCTAGTATATGGTAAGAATATCTGGATCTAAATGACCAATGTCCCCTTTGAAAAAAAAAAAAAAAAAAAAACCAAGTGAAGGAAGCAAAGAATAACTATGGCCCGTTTGGTAGCACTTATAAGTTAACTTACTTAGCTTATTTGCTTAAGAAAATGTTCAACTAATGTTGTTTGGTTGCAATTTTTAGTTATAACTTATTTGACTTTTTCTTAAGCTACAATTTGTAACTTTCTTTAATTTATGTGAAACCCTTGAACACGTATAGACAAAAAAGCCCCATCTCTTTTGTCTTCAGCATAAGTTTTTAAGGCATTCTGTATTTGCACAACAAAAACACTATGTGATAGCTTATTTAACTAAACAGATTCAATTTTTGAACAGATTATCAAAAGCTGCACCAAACAAATTTACAACTTATTTTAATTTTTTTAAGTTACTATTTTAAAAAACCATGTCATTCGAACTAACTTATAAGTGATACCAAATGGGGCCTAAATATCCTCAAGTTCTATGCTTTTACTTCAGGCTACTTTTTGTTTGACCGGAAAGCTTACAGCAGAAGATAAGAACCCTACGTTTGTATTATTATTATTATTATTATTATTATGGGTCGTATGTGGTAAAGTCATCCTTGGACATTGAAAGAGGTAGCTAAATGGAACTGAAATGCACATTGGAAAATTGGGAACGGCATGTTGTACATGTTAATTGGATGTTCAATTTGTTGAAAAAGCCTAGCAAAGGTGAGAAATAGTAATTGTTCGAAATTTTTACCATACATGTCTAAGGAAAGTTATGTGGAGAAGAACTTTAATATATCTCAATTAATTGTCTCCTGCCCGAGTCAAGTTCAAATGGAACCGGGGGAGAATAAAGCATTATCTTAAAATTTTAGTTTGAAGTGATTAAAGTTAACCTAGGTTTTAAGAGAGATTCCCTTTTAGAATGCTTAATCTATATGATGTTGTTAAGATTGGGCATGTTTGCATATCCCCTGAAAATTGAACTTTCCAATTGTGTTATACATTCGCAAATTTTTAAAAATTTATTCCACACTGTTGGTCTTCCTTTCCATCTTATAATTTGCCTGGTATTCTTTTTCTGTTTTTTTTTTTTTTTTGTAGATGTATTGTGTAGTACATCCAATCTCTAGTCAAATAGCATGTGATGTAGTCACGTTCGTGTATGATCAAAATGGACATAGCTCTGGAATCAACAAAACACATAACGACGGAGAAGGCCTGTGTGCATAGTGGTTCTAAAATTATAATCTTTTCACACAAAAAAAAAAATATTCCCCATTCCCCTAGTATATTATTTGTTAATAAATTTCTCATCATTTGCTGTAGTCCCTTGTTCCCATGTATTTGTTTGGTCTATAGGCGTAGATTGAGAAAATTTTGAGTTGTAACAAGGTTTTTGGCTGTATGACAACATTGTATCAGTTTGCAAAATATACTTTAAAGTCCTTTATATCTTCGGGGTATTCTATAATTTGGACCATTACAGCTTCCTTTTATTTTTTTCCCATACTTTTGATGAATTCTTTATTTACTAAAATAGTTAGTTCCCTGCAGAGGGGGTGGGGTGGGGATAGAGAGAGAGGTTCCTGCAATGATGGAGAAATTTGCACATTATATTTCGAGTACTGGCGTTGGAACAAAATTTTCTAAAACAACAGCCAACAAAACAAGAGTTTTTAGAGGTGACGAAAGTTTTTCGCTGACAGAGGAAAGGAATTAAAACTAAGGTGTACCGACTGAGTTTCCAGTAGCGCAAATCCATGTCCAAAACAGGGGGTTTTGCAAGACAGATTTGACAGGAAAAGCTTATGGGCATACAAGCAGTTGAGGATCAAAAATCATTTTTAAACATTCGATGGTGCAGTGTGAAAATATCAATTTGACGAAAGGGCGACGCTGCCAGTCAACAGGGATTGAAAATTGCACATGTTTATGGCAGAAAATTATACTGTAGTATTATTCAGAAGGAAAATTAGGCCATAATAGACGCAAGTTCCTCAAAAGTAACTACTTCAGTTTGTGTGCTGATTCACCAAAACCCTAATAAGCACACCAAGAAAATATTTTGAGTGTCAGAATATCAAAATGATCACAAGGGAAAAAGTCCAAGAAAAGGTCTCAACATATATCACCCATATCTCCAAGATTTCCATGTACAAAACCAACAAACTGGAATGTCCTAACTAAGAACATCCCAGTGACCGAGGCCCAAGTGAAGCACTTTATTTGAAGTCATATGTAGTGACAATCCTCAACCTAGTGTGATCCTTCTCCAACTTTCTGCAAAAAGATAAGCAAGTTAGAGCCCGTAGGTTATTGGCGACTCCGGGAATTTTTGTTAGAGGTGTCAATCAAAAACTTAAATGTCATATATTTTACAAAAAATTCACATTAATCATTATATCACCTATGGAGAAAAAAATCAACAAATTAATTTAAATTCTAAAATTATAAACAAATGTTTCAATATATTGATACTATTGTTTAAACAAAAAGACATGCTAATACACGAGCTTCTACAATTGACCACGACGAGATTTCATATTTTGAAATCGTTGCATAATAAATTCATTATCAACACTATTAAATACATCTTTCTCAATATATGTAACCAAACAATCATTTAACCATTGATCTCCCATTCGGTTACGCAATCGATTCTTGGTGAGTTCAAAGTTTTGGGACTAAAAACTATGAGTTCAAAGTTGTATTTTAGTGGGTTCAATTGTTGATTTTTTTCCTAAAATCTAATACTTAATAAAAACTAAAAATAAAAATCATCTAGTTCGGGTGACACTCTCGGCCATGTGTTGAAGCCACTCCTGCCGAAGGTACAAGTAACAGCAGTAAAAGAGCTAATCCATCAAAAACAATAAAATTCTATCATGATTACAAGAGATAGGACGTGTCTCGCATATTATAAATAGAATTTAAATAGATGGGATTTAGGTACAAGATATCATCAATCAAAAACAATCCCCACAATTGACCTTATTCCTTGTTGAGGTTTGAGCCTCCTAAAGGAGCCGCCTAGATTGAAGCCTAAGAAGCACCGATATTCCAAGATGGGTGTTGTGTCCGTGCCCGACACAGTGAGGACACAAGTGTCCATGTGTTCGATGTGCAACATGGCATGTCAATTTTTTTAATTATTGTTTTTTGTAGGACATGTTGGAGACATTTCATGGACACGTGTGTCTTGTGTTTGGAGAATAAATACAACCAAAAAAAAAAAATAAATTAAAAACCCACATATACATCAATGTCTCTCGTATATATGTATCCTAAATTTATATTCATATACTGAGTATATATATATATATATATATATATATTATTTTTGCCATAACCCCGTTGTGACCGGACCCTATTTTTTTGAGAATTGTGGTGTCTTTTGTCCATATGCATAAATCCTTGTTTTTAGGTTGAAGCTGTTGTCACCATAAAGGTGACGTGGCAAGATCAATGTTATCATTTGTTTTAGCAGCAAGTCATAGAAATAAAGTACCTCTTCCTTCTTTTCTTTCTTGCCCTTGGTGAGGAACTTGTAACCCCCAAAGAAAAGTAAGCCCCAGCCGGTTAGAGAGACGATCACAAACTGCAAAAGACAAAGGATAGCAAGAAAAATTGTCAAGATGGATCTGAGATTCACTCTCCACTTTTTACAATACTTGCATTCTGGAGAGAGTATGGAATGATTGGTTCAACATGTAAATATTATTAAATTGACTAAAAGTAATAGTGAAAGTCTGTCATGATGCATGGAAGCTTTTACAGAAATAGTGAAATACCAATCCAAATTCCTATATCTACTTCAAATGCATTGGTAAAAGACAAATAGTCATTCAGATGCACATTTTCACATGGGAATGGAAAACTGAAGCCCACGGAAAGCAATGTTAAAATTTAAAACAATTAAATGCACAAAAACCTTTTCACTTTGTTGATTTTACTGAATTTTGGTTGACTGAACCAAACTTGGATATTTGGACCATTGATAGGAAAAACTACCAAGTAATGTGGTCTCAAACTAGCTGTGACGAAATGCCAACAAAGGTTGCTGGGTAACATTTTTGTTTAAAAGGATAGATAGCAGATAATCAGCTATACAGGTACCATGTCAAAATTAAAATGACACATACAGGTACAGCAACAGAGACGCATCCAAAACTAAATCCATTATAAAATTTCTTGCAAAATAATATTGAACCAACAACTTGGTCCATGAAGGAGGTTTCCAATACAAGCTACACAATTGCAGTGAGGTTGAGAATGCTGAATTTTAGGGCAAAAATTTCTTAAATGCACATATTGTATCCTACTCAAACACAGATTTTGCAGTAACTATATTAAGTATGGATCCAAATACACCACCGGCTTTTATGTCAAAAATCGCCAAGTACCCAGCATGGGATGTAGAACCCAAGTAATAAATTATGATTATACTATAAAGAAGTTGTTGTTGAGTCAAATAATAAGTGCAGAATCTCTTCAACACAATCAAATTTTGTATAATCGCAACGAGATGCATGAAATCATGCTACAAATTATATAATGTGTCATCAAATATAAATAAATAAAATCACACAGAAACAAAGAAAAGAACACTCACATGCTCTTCTTTCCATTTAGACGGGCTCAATGGATCCTCCCAAAAGCTCACCTTTGGAGGTTCATGATGATCTGCAATACAACAACTCAAAAAAACCAGTAACCAAAAAGAACACATTTTAATAGGTTTGATGAAAAATATTTGATTTTTTCCACCAGCAGAATGATCTTATTTCTCCATAGACATCCAATCTCCAATACACCCTAAGTTTAACTACTATAGTCTACTAGTATGAAAATTCATGTAAGAGAAAACCAAACAAGATTGGAGAGTGAATCATTGTCTTTTCTCTCCTATTTATCTAAACATGAAGAAGAAAAAACACAATATTTTTTCTTTTTTTTCTCTTTCTTTCCTTTTCTCTACTAACTTAATAATCATTTCTTTTTACTTTTTTTTTTCCTCTCTTAAGTTCCCAAACACCTTATTTGATTTCAATTTTTTGAAATTGAGTATTTTAGTTTTCTTCTTTTTTTGGTTAATTTTTTTAATATTTAAGGTACATTTTTTACTTTTTAGATACAGTTAATATAAATATAATTAAAAAGAAAAATATTTGTGAATTTTTTTAAAAAAAATTAATACAAAAAGTATATATATGGAAATTAAGTACATTTTGTATTCTTGTATATTTATTGATTTTTTTTTTTTTATAAATATTTTAGTTTTTTAGGTACATCTAAAAAATTTACTTAAAATATTAAAAAAATTCACTAAAAAAATATACAAAAACAAAAACAAAATTAAAATCAATTTTCAGAAATTAAACTCCGAAAATTAGACCAAACAATTAATTTACTTTGCCCGATTTGATAAGCTTTGGAGCTCTAATCACAAACATTCAATGCTACATTTCATGAACATTTAAGTCACAGAGAAACCAACTAACCATTCATAAATTGAAATGAGGTTATTCTTATTTACATGTGTGTGTGTTAGAAATATACATTAATATATATATATATATATATATATAAGCCCTAATTGACATATTTACAACATAGAGATGTGGTTGAGGCTGCACTTCAAGTGAATAGTAAACTTGATTGGTGTGGGGACATATTTTCTGAATGTCAACACGTGGCTAAGGTGACGTCGAAGTGTCAGCCGAGGTGCCACGTGCCCTGATCATGACACCGAGGTGATCTCGGCTAGGCCGAGGTTATCTCCGAAGATGTTGGAGTCCGGGATAAGCGGATAAGGGACAAGAGTCCTAAAGTGAGAGAAGACTACAGTTTGAGTAAAGATAAGACTCTTAGAGAGTTTATCCCAACCCTACTGGGAGTCAAAGAATAGTAGTAATCCTAAGTCCACTAGAGCTAGGCTTCTATTGGGACTAGGATTGTATTGGCTATAAAAAAAAGGCACCCCTATGGGTCTAAGGTACGCAATTTATATTCTGAATAGTGAATTGAGCACTTTTGTTATCTTTGAGAGATAACTGACTTGATTGTTGGAGTGCCCCCGAGTGGACGAACCATCGTCGGAATCTCTTCTTTCTATTGCAGGTTGTTCGGACTTAATCTATTCTACCAGTACTCTCCAGCTAAGTACTAATTTGGCAGTGTGGTCGGAAATTGACACACATAATTTGGCGCCGTCTGTGGGAAAAAAAGGAGAATAGATGGCCAACGACGGACAGAGAGAGAAGGTTGGGGACGACACTCCTACTGGGAGTGGAAAACCTATTGACCTTGACGTCGAAGGAGACAACTGTAATGAAGAGACTCGTGATAAGAATCACGAAGGAAAGGATGTCGGCCAGGAGGGTGACGTACAGAAGAAATCAGACCGAAACGAGTACTATAACGAAGATAACCTTCAGGTGTGGAAAGATAGATGCCTACGGAGGGACGAAG